ATTAACGGTTTATTGAAAGAGCATGGTAGCCGGAAGGTTGAAAATATACAGTTACATATTTGGGGAATGGGTCACTTGATTTACAAATAATATACAAGTGACATATGTGATACAAATATGATATATAATAACTAGATGGGGAGAAGGTCATACTACAGGGCATTTCAACATAGTGACAGTGCAAAAAGTAAGATTGACTGCGAGTGAATACACTGGTTGATTACAAGTTATTGACAATTTTTACAATGGTTGGGACTGGGCTGTTCTTATAGCGATCAGTTCGTGCACGTATGGGCTGGATGCGTGTGTGTGTGTGTGTGTGTGTGTGTGTGTGTGTGTGTGTGTGTGTGTGTGTGTGTGTGTGTGTGTGTGTGTGTGTGTGTGTGTGTCCTTCTGTCTATATGTGTTTACCTGTATGTCTGTCTGTGTTTGTATGTCTGTCTGTGATTATATGTCAGTCTGTCTGTCTGTCTGTCGTCTGTCTGTCTGTCTGTCTGGTTATCGCCACTTGTGATGGATTTCAAGTCTCCAGATCAATTTTTATTGTTGATGCAAGATATAAATTGTGTCATAAACCTAATTTCTACATTATTATCAATCTTCCTGGTCTCTCTCTCTCGGTGTCTATCTATCAACGAGTATCTGTCTGTTAAGTGTTAGTTAATGTGTCAAATTAGTTCAAGTTTAAGATATCTGTGAAAATGTTGTGTGTATGATGTGCGTTGGTTGGGTCGGGTTGGGTTGGGTTGGGTTGGTTTATTATAGAACTGGAAATTAATTAAACTTCACGCTGAACCTAACCTAACCTAACTTAACGTAACGTAACCTAACTTACTTACTGTCACTCGAAATCAAGTATGTCATCTTCGTTGGTGAGCTCTGATGTGACTAGAGAGACCGACACGGGACCGGCAGGACCGTCCACAGATGCTGCACGTGGAGGGTTACATCCAGTGCGGGAGGGGCAGGGGCAGCGGTAACGTAGATGCTCCTACAGTTGGTGTCAGCAAGAATACTGACATTTATTCTCTTGTCTTCCCAGCGAACTCGGGGGATGGAACGTAGTCTACGTTGGTGAACGTTTATAAGTGCCTTGAGGTGCCTCATGTATGTGACCCATGTCTGGCTGTCATATAGCAGAGTGGGGAGGACTACTGATCGATATAGTGCAGCTTTGTAGATCATTTCAGCTCCCACAGCTGAATTCATGGCTACAGAGTCTGCCAAAAGCTTGAGATGCACATCTGATCCGATGTTGAGTCTCTTCATCGATGTCTGCGGTGATGGACAGGTGGGAGCCAACATAAAAGTGGGTAACATTAGGGAGGGTAGTACTGCTAACCTGAATGGATGGTAGAGGTGTAGTTGAACCAGGGGCAGGCTGAAAGAAATTCTGAATCTTGCTTACATTCACCTCAAGGCCAAAGTGTTCATACGCATTTGCGTAGGTGTTCAGGATCTCCTGTAGGTCGCGTTCAGTGTGAGCAACAAGGGTGAGGTTGTCTGCATACTGAAGCACAGAGATGGAAGTGGCTGACACCTTTGTTCTTGCCTGGAGTCTTCTTATGTTGAAAAGTCCCTTCATCCGGTCCTAGAGGTCCACCCCGCCGGCTGAATTGGTACTGGCACGAGTAAGGGAGGCAGCCAAGAAAATGGAAAAGGGAGTTGGTGCCAATACACATCCTTATTTTACCCCCGTTTGGATGGAAAAGAACTCAGACTGTGTGCCATTGTACAGGACACTGCTGTTCATGTGATTATGGATATGCCTCACAATGGCGACGAAATTTGGTGGGCAATCAAAACGACTGAGGCTCTACCAGAGGGCTGCCATGTTCACCGAGTCGATGGCCTTGGTAAGGATAATGAGGGCCATGTACAAATCACGACGCTGTTCCCTGCACTTTTCTTGTATTTGGCGGACAGAAAAGATCATGTCAGTGGTGCCACGTGATGGTTTAAAGCCACATTGAGATTCTGGAAGGAAGTTTTCCGCCTCAGAATGAAGTCTGTTTAGGAGGACTCGGCGATAATCTTGTCAGCTATGGATCCCAGGGAGATTTCGCAGTAGTTGCCGCAGTCTGACCAGTCTTTCCTGTTTTTATAAATATTGACGATGGAGGAGTCTTTAAGATCTTGGGGGATTTCCTCCTTCTTCCATATATTCTCCAGGAGAGAGTGGAGACGTCTGGTAAGCAAAGTTTGCTCCTGCTTTATATACCTCGGCTGGGATTCCATCAGCACCTGTGACTGTTATTTTTCATCAGCTTGATGGCTGTAGTTACCTCATCACGGGATGGAGGATAGCCGAGGTGGGTAAGCTCTGGGTGCTGAGGGACCTGCTGGGTAGTCAGGACATCCCCATTAGTATTTCGGTTGAGCAGGGAATAGTAGTGCTCTTTCCAGCGCTGACGGATGCCTTCTATGTCTTTAATTTGGGAGTTACCGTCAGATGAGCGAAGGGGCCCGCAATGAGTAGTTTGGCAATAGAATGCTTTAGTGTAATTGTGTTTCACAGTTTATTTTTTCCACCATTCGTCCTTTAGACTGCAAAGTTTGCGCTGGGCCATCGCTTTCTTCTGGCGGAAGGTATCAGTTTATGTCCGAGACTGAGGGTTGGTTTTTCAGTCAGTGAAGGCAGCATGTTTACCATTGACGAGTGAGTTTATCTCCCGGTTTTTCATCAAACCAGTCCTGGTGTTTTCTTTCAATCTTGCTTGGCTCTCGCTACAGGTTTTTGTTATGACATCTTTGAGGATACCCCATTTGACACTCGGATTTAAGTTGTTTGTTGTTGGGTTGTTTATCAGTTAGATCGAGCTGCTCTTTGAAAGCATGTTTTACTGCTTGATCCTCCAGTTGCTTGGTGGTAAAACCTCTTCTGGTGGCTTATTGCATTTGCCGTTTTTCGGCAACATGAAGGGAGAGTTTACTCTGACGAGCTGATGATCTGTGTCACAGTGGTCTGAGCAACAATGATGAAGTCAATGAGATGCCAATGTCTGGAACGCTGGTGTTGCTAAGAACCCTTTAACTTGTAGGCCTGACTAAACAAGGTGTTGGTGATAGTGAGGTTGTTTTCAGCACACTTCCAAAGGAATAGGCCATTGGGATTACACTAGCCCACTCCGCTTTTCCCTAAGGTTCCCTGCTATATGGCAGCATCTCTGTCAACTCTGGCATTGAAGTCAAGTAGGAGTACAACCTTATCTTGTCTGGGGATAGTCGTCAGCACTCTATCAAGGTAAGGGTAAGATGCCTCTTTGATGTCATCCTCTGCATCTAGTGTTGGGGGCATATGGACTGATGAAGAAGGTATGACGTGAGCAATTCAGTGGAACTCGAAGCATCATTAGGCGCTCATTGATCCCAACAGGCATTTCAGTTAGCCTATGTGGGATGGATTGGCGAATGCCAAAACCAACTCTATAAAAGCGGTTTCTCTCTGCAGCAGGCTTACCCTTCCAGAAGAAGGTATAACCGGACCCCTGTTCTATGAGAGCCGGGACTCACAAATGGCTACTATGTCGATGTTGTACCAAGACAACTCGTTTTGCCACGAGGGAGGTTCTTCTTTCAGAAAGCTCATTTGTACCAATATCCTGAAGGGTCTTGACAGTCCATGCATGGACCCTAAGAGGTTGTATAATATGTTTTTGCTTTGATCTGTGATTATGTTTTCGGCCGCATTAGGATGACCTTAGTGGGTGCGGTTGCCCAGTCAGGTTTATTTTTTAGGTAGACTATATTTATTGAGGGCACCCCTCCCGATGTTGGGCGAGCAAAGTGGCTCCTCGAAAGGGCTGTTCAGTCGCACATACAGGACCGAATTGCACTGCTGCCAAGATCCCAGTACATAAACGACCATCTTATCACTGCCGTCCATGTGCAGAGTTGTGATTAGAGATTCCCGGCAGTCATCTCTGCCTGTCCCCGTTGCCACTCGTCTGTCGCCATAAGACTTTTGGGGGTTTAGGGGTTCTGATGATGATGTGAAGTATGATGAGCTGGATGATGGCTTCTTGTTAGTTGATTTATGTGGTGAGGCAGGAGCGCAGGCTGCAACACACATCTTGGCTCTCCCCTTTCCTGATCCAGTGATACAAGTAGCTGCAAGAACTTGGGAGAGGAATGGACTGCAGTTAACCCAGTTTGTTGGGTCTCGCCTTAATAGCCTGTCCATCTTGCATTGCCTTTATCCACCGGTGTATCGTTGGGTTCCAGTGTTGGTCATTTCTGCCGCCAATACCACCGATGGGGTCTTACTTCAGCTCTGTAAGCATGTCTGCCTGATGCGGGCCTCCACTGCAAATTTTTCGTTCGGAGTTTACTTCCGTAACCTTATACGTATCAAAGTTAATCCGCAAGGCAGCGGGGCAGTGGTTCATAGGTGCCAGGGTGTGTGCACATGCCGGTGGGCCTATGCGCTGTACTACTGGGATCCACTGCTGCTCCGAGGTCCCCTGTTCGTCTTGCTTGGGGCTGTGAGGCACCCAGCTACCGGGTGTTGCCACGAGGAGGCACAGCAGGACTCTTGATGGTGAATAGACTGTGTGCTGGCAGGGGAAGACTTATGCATGGCTGCTTCCCTGTTCAAGATGAGGGCTAGCCAGCAGCAGCAGCTGAAAGCGAGAGTAAGTAAGCAGTGCAAGCACCTTAACACTAATATAATGCTGCCACACCAGATGCATTACACCACCCTGTGAAGAAGAGCCCCCCACACACAACTTAGACTATACACAACATGTACACAACATTTTCCTTTACTATAATATAGTATTGTCACCAAAATTGTTTATTATTGTCAAATTACAAAAATTCTCCAGTCAATCATGAAAAAAAAACCAATACAAATTATACCTTCTCTCTTGTGTTTATCTGGATATCTATGTCTCTGTTAACCCTGAGACCACAACAAACAGATTCAGCCCCCCCCCCCAAAAAAAAATAAATAATAATAATAATAAATAAAATAAAAATAAGAAAAAAATGGACCTTACCAGCAATAACATGAAGGGTGACATTAGCTGACTTGGCTTTATAGGGATCACAACTATATGATCCAGCATCCGTCCAGGTCACATTATGAATGATCAGGGAACTGCCATGATGGTGCCGAACGACCTTGAGATGCCGCCGATGGTGGTGGTAGTTGACCATGGTGTCGTTATGGTACCAGAAGATGTATAATGGTGGTTCGGTGGCCAGTTCGACTCCACAACGCAGACGGAGGCGGACACCCCTATGGACGTGGATTTCAGGGGCTCCTTGAATCACCGCCCGGGCCTCTGTGGAGTGATTGGAGGAATTAATGCTTGTCGAGTGACCTTAACTATAGCAAGGAATGGGGTTGGAATGGGTGGAGCTAGCAAGGGGTTGGAATGGGTGGGGGCTAGCATGGGATGAGGCTGGTAGGGGTGTAACTAGCAAGTGATGGAGCTAGTAGACAATGTACATAACTAGCAAGGGGTGAGGCTTGTAGAAAATGTAACTAATAAGGGAGTAGGGTTAGTAGGGGTGTATAGGAAGGGGTGGTGTTGCATATGTCTACGTATTTACATATTATTAAGATGTGTGCAGTATATTGTTTTTGTATCAGTCACCGTTGAAACAGTGGTCGTCTGTAAAGGAAAGGAGATATGGAGATATAAAAGATGTATGTCCATTGTGAAAATTAGTTTATTTTTTGCATTGGATGTGAATTATATTGGTTCAATGTAATTTATAATATTTTGTAATCATATAATATTATTTAATTATACAAAGAAGTTTTGAGTTAATCTTCTAATTGTCAAAGATGTATTGTTTGTTTATGTTTAGGAGCTGCCTTCCTTCAGGGGTGAATACAGGGTGTGGATGAGAGACCAGGAAAGTGATTGTAATCTTGTTTCATCTATTGTATATCCTACATTTTGGTATTAATTTACTCAACAGCATTTGGGGTGGATACTAAGTGATACTTCTGTGAATGGAGGAAGAGCCATATTATGGGATTAAGATAGATAAATTACTAAATCAGTTGGGCCACAAGGCCATGCAGTGTCAATGTCTGCACTCTTGTTTTACTGTAAATATAATAAGTGTTAACTAGTATAAATTAGTAATTCTCAGTCCTGACTCAATTTGCACTGTATAACGAATGGTTCCTCGGATGAATTCTCCCAATGCAATTATATTAAATGTCATCTCCAACTGTCAGCTGGAGGTAGCAAAGTATTGTCTACATCAGTGGTTCTTAACCTGGGGGGCGTCAGTAATTTCCAGTGGGGGGGCGCAAGACCTAGGGAAAAAGTAGGAATTTCTCTAATTATAATTATAGTTTTTATTCTCTTAACAAGAGCGTGGGCTAACATTGAGAAGTTTATGAAAAAATGCAAAAGTATCGCCTTATAACTTTAGTTTTCTATAGGCTACTTTTTTTGACTTAGGGCTTACCATTTTCTGTACTTATTGACCCCCCTCCCTATCCCTCGAAACCCATGGGGGGGGGGGGGTTAACTCGTCCTGGACCTGTATACTGCTCGTTGGTGACTGGTGAGCCCCGTTCTCTCCCAGTCTTCTGCACACGTCCGTGGCAATAATTCCTCTTCTCTCACATTTATTCAGTTAAGGCTGTTGAGGTATGTTTTATCCCAGTTGTTATATTTACCTAAAAATAGTAAGCAGCCATAAGTTTATTGGTGAATTGTGAACACGCATGTGTTGCTCTGTTGTTATTCGCAAGTTTTGAATTCCGTTTGTATTTTATCAGAAGTTGGTGGTGCTTAAAATCATGTGGTGGTAACAGGTGGTTATGGTAAAGTTGTATTTATGATGATATTGATTTGTTTCTTAATAATCATGTGTTTATGATCATGATGTGTTTACTATAATGTTGTGGTGTTTGTTAATATTTACTTAATAATTATGTGGTGGTGTTTATGATCATGTAGTGGTGCTTATGATCATGTTGTGATCATTGATGTTTGTTAATAATCATGTGGTGTTTATGATCATGTGATGTTTGTTAATGATATGGTGGTGTTTATGATCATGTATGATTGTAGTCACTTGTAGTGTTTACGAACTTTACGATCATATGTTTGTTATTGATCATGTGGTTGTGATTATCATGATGTTGTGGTGTTCATGAGCACGTGGTGATGTTTATCTTACCTTACACGTGCCTTATGTTTTGTTCACACATTTGTGTTGTCCACTGCACATCAAATAATTCGCAATGAGTGCAAAGAAGCGGAAGTATCTTGACGAATATATTCGATTTGGATTCGTGTCTCTCCAAAAGGGTGACACAGAGGTCCCCCAGTGTGTGATATGTTACAAGACTCTGAGCAATGATGGAATGCGGCCCTCACGCTTGGAACGCCACTTGAGGACAACACATCCTGCTCTCGCTGACAAGCCCAAGGCATTCTGTGAAACAAAAAGACACTCCTTGAAGCAAGTTAAGTTGGAGGACAGTGGGGCATTTCGGCAACAAACTTCAGAGGTTGTTGAGGCTTCCTATGAGATCGCCATGTTGATTGCAAAGAGCAAGAAGAGCCATAACATCGGAGAGTTTCTCATAAAACCAAGCATACTCCGTGCAGCAGAACTCGTTCTGGGGAAAGACGCTTTCCCAAATTTCACTATCAAACGATACAGTCAAGGGAAGGATCGATGAATTGTCTCAAGACATCAAAGATCAAATTCTCGACCAAGTAAGAGCTTCTCCTGTTTTTGCCATCCAGTGTGACGAAACGACTGTCATCGCTCAGTGTTCTCAGCTTCTGATGTATGCTCGTTTCGTGTCAGGCAACAGTGTAAAAGAGGAAATGCTGTTCTGTCACCCCATGGAAAGTTGTACAACAGCAGCAGCTATTTTTCATGATGTATCAAACTTCTTTCAGGAAAACCAACTTTCGTGGGACTCGCTGGTAGGGGTGTGCACTGATGGAGCTCCAGTCATGCTTGGTCTGCAGTCTGGATTCATTACAATGGTGAAAGAAAAAATCCGTCTGTTGTAGGTACACACTGCATACTTCATCGTGAATCCTTAGTATCCAGAACTTTACCTGCTGAAATGAGGGATGTCCTGAACGTGGCTATTAAGGTAGTCAACTTTATCAAAGCTGGAGCCTCAAACAGTCGTCTCTTCAAACTGCTGTGTAAGGATCTGGAATCTGAACATGAAACCTTGCTTTTTCACACGAACGTACGATGGCTATCAAAGGGGAACATGCTTGGACGGCTTTATGAACTACGAGAAGAAGTAGCAATATTTCTTGATTCGAAGCAGAAGGGAGATCTCCATGACAGGTTCCAGTCTGAAGGCTTTCAGCTATCTCTAGCTTACCTGGTGGACATCTTCGAAGCGTTGAATGCTCTCAACCTTAGACTACAAGGGAAAAACATCAACATTATCATGCACCACGACACCATTCGAACCTTCATGGCCAAACTCGACCTCTGGAAGTGTCGAATTCAGCAGGGAAATACAGCCAGTTTTAGTAACTTGGATTCTGCTCTCATTCACGGTAACCTTGATTCTGAGTTAAAGAAACAAATAATCACTCATCTAACTGACTTGAAAACAGAATTCATCAGATACTTCCCAGAGATAGATGAGAAGCGTGAAGCCTGGAAATTCATCAGGAACCCATTTCAATGTGAAGTAGCTGATGTTTCGGATGAAGTGCAAGAGGAGTTTCTTGAGTTGAAGTTCAACTCCACAGCTAAGGAAGACTTCAAAGAACTGGATCTTGAGACGTTCTGGGTCAAGTACCCTCCTGTTTACCCTCTGATCTCACATCAGGCTCTTCGGATTCTAACTATGTTCGGATCCACGTATCTTTGTGAAGCTGCATTTTCCACGCTCGTTGCTGTCAAGACCAAGTACAGAAACAGGCTGAACGTTGAAGGGGATTTACGTTGTGCACTCTCCGGCATTCAACCACGCATTCAAGAACTAGTAGCTAAGAAGCAGTGTCGAGTATCTCACTAATTTATACTCAATAAAAAGACTAAAAACATAATATTTTTCATTTTTCTTTAAAATCTGGGAGGGAATTTTATTCATAGATGCAAGGGGGGCGTGGTAGTGAAAAGGTTAAGAACCACTGCTCTACATGATTCTGGTCTGTTAACCAAAGCCGTTATTTCAGAATAGAAGTCTGATTAATGGGCCTAAGAGTTAGAGCACTGCTGAAAGAGGAGGTTTATTCAGTAGTGGCTGTGACAGTGGGGCTAGTAGAGAGTGTAACTAGGAAGAGGTGGGGCTAGTAGGGGTGTAACTAGTAAAGGGCAGGGCTAGTAGAGAATGTAACTAGCAAAGGGTGAGGCTAGTAGGGGTGTAACTAGGAAGGGATGGGGCTAGTAGAGAATGAAATTATCAAGGGGTGGGGCTGGTAGGGTGGAACTAGCAAGGAGTAGGGCTAGTAGTGGGTGTAATTAGCAAAGGGTGGGGCTACGGGTATAGCTAACATGGGGTAGGGGATGTAGGGGTGTAACTAGCAAGAAGTGAGGCTGTAACTAGAAAGGGGTGGGGCTAGTACAGAAATGGGGAGGGCTAGTAGGGGTGTAACTAGGAAGTGGTAGGGCTAATAGTGGGTGTAACTAGCAAGGGGTGAGGCTAGTAGGTGGGGATGGTAGGGGTGTAACTAGCAAGAAGTGAGGTTAGTAGAGGGTGTAGCTAGCAAGAGGGTGAGGCTAGTAGGGTGTAACTAGCAAGGGCTGGAGCTAGTAGAGGGTGTAATTAGCTTGAGGTGGAGCTATTGGAGGGTGTAACTTACAAGGGGTGGAACTATTAAAGGGTGTAGCTATCAAGGCGTGAAGCTAGTAGCTGTAACTAGCAGGGGGTAGGGCTAGTAGAGGGTGTAACTAGCAAAGGGCAGAGCTTAGTAAGGGGTGTGACTAGCAAGAAGTGAGGTTAGTAGAGGGTGTAACTAGCAAGGGGGTGAGGCTAGTAGGGTGTAACTAGCAAGGGCTGGAGCTAGTAGAGGGTATAACTATCCGTGAATCTCTATCTCTCTCTTTATTTATTACACTTTCTCTCTCTTTCTCAATACGTAACCATTATTCTCTCTATTATCTCTCAATCTCTCTCTTTCTCAATCTATCACTCTCACCATAATTTTCTCTATCACCCAATCTCTTTCTTTCTGTCACACCGCTCCCCCCTCTCTCTCTCCCTCCCTCTCTTTCTTTCACTCACTCTCACAGTTTCCTCACCCTCACCCCCTCCCTCCCTCTCTCTCTTTCACTCACTCTCACAGTTTCCTCACCCTCACCCCCTCCTCCCTCCCTCTCT